GAGAGCTGTGCAGATACACGAAAGTGTATGGCGAGCCAAAGCTAGGTTACACCCACCTATGAAGTAGTTTATTTGCATTTCATGCGATACGAAACACTAATGGCCCTTCACATGTGGGTGATGGATTTTACACATATTGCATCCATGCCTGGTGGCATTCAGCTCCTGCGTCTGTCTAAACTACCTAGCTAACGCCACCCTGCTCTGCACACAAGCAGTCAACTGTGGCTAAACAACAGCAATCGCCCTTTCAAATATTGACATTCATAGCCCGCTTTTTGTGCGCCCATTACTATGTAAGACGTAAGTGGCTGCTCGTTTCTCACTACAGGAAATTAACAACAGCATTGCGCCACCATCTCATTGTGTTCATTGTCATGATCCACAAACAGATCAGTCGGTGTTTGGTTCTATAAGTCGGTCATGGGAGGTCGGAGTCTCGGTCACGCCCGGTGATTTCCAACAACTTGGCAGTAACGCTTTGTTTAAGAGGACATCGTGCAAACTTCTCAGCACACGTGAGGAAAACATTTATTGAGCGCAATAGTACATACTGCATGTGCCTGTAATGTAATTGCTAGTGTAATAGTGTGAATGCACTTTTTATCATTCCGTATTTATTTAACCAGCTTTCAGCGTCCCTGAGATGAAAACATTCTTCATGGTAACCAGATGACGAACCAATATAAGTGAAAGATGAAAACACCGAATGACAACCGGGTGTTTCGGGGCGATCCGTCATCGTTCATGAATAGTGACAGCAGACAGCGGAGAGCTGTCATAGCCTAACCCAATAGCACGCGCAGTCAGTCCTACACACGTGGGTCAGTCGGGGCTGCTGTTAACAACTTCCAAGAGAGCGGTGGCACTGACAGTGTGCCACCGGGAGCACTGCATCGGAGCAGCCATCTTTCGTCGTTTAATGTTATCGATAGTTGTTTTATTCCTGATGTTTACGCTTGGCTATCTCAACCCAGATGTCGCACGTGCGGTGTCTCATCGCGGTGTAATTCGATGTGCCTTACGCTCGCTTCAGCACTGTAGAGTCGTCAATTAGCATTATGTTACATTTAAATATCTGAAGGCATGCAACCAATATCTGCAGCAAAGCGGTGATATCAATAGTTGACAAAACGAACTCCAAGTTTAAGAAACAGGCCATCAGGCATCTGTTGGCGCCAGATCACTAGCTCATACCCATTTTACCATTGTCGCTTTACAGTCTTGTCGTACTACTTCGGTCCGTCTCAAAGGTGTCTGAATTACTCAAAGTCTGAAATCCTTGCACTGGCTACATTCTACAGTTCATGTTTTGCCTTTTATGACTATCTGTGATCCTGAGGTGCGTCTGGTGATGACTAATTGACAAATTGAACTAAGCTTAATAAAACCGAGCTTGAGCCCATGTCCTAAGGACCCACCGTGTCACGCACAGCCTAGGTCCTCTGGCCCCGCCGGAGCCCGGGAGAGCCCTCGTGACTCCACCCCCGCCGGGCCACTGGCACCCAGCGGGCCGCCGCCGAAGACAGATGGCTGTTGGGAAACTGGCCCCACGCGCCGACGGCCGCCCCCGCCCGGCGCCCAGGGAATCCATTAATGTGACCCAGGACCGGGTAATGATGGCCGCCCGGCTGCGGGCGAGGTTTGATTGCGCGTGATCTGCGGGTCAGTGGTGTCGACAGGTGGCGACGGCGGCACGCGAGCTGACGGTCCGAGGCCCGGCGCTCTGGCGAGCCGCTGACACCGGGCCGAGATGGCTTCACCGAGCGCCTGAGGCCGGCTGGGACCGTCGCGCCGGTCCCGCCTGGTGGAGGCCCGGCTCTCTGGCGAGCCTCTGGCACCGGACCGGGATGGTACCGCCGAGCGCCTGAGGCCCGGCTGGGACCGTCGCGCCGGTCCCGCCTGGTGGAGGCCCGGCCCTCTGGCGAGCCTCTGACACCAGACCGGGATGGTACCCACCGAGCGCCTGAGGCCGGCTGGGACCGTCGCGCCGGTCCCGTCTGGTGGAGGTCCGGCGCTCTGGCGAGCCGCTGACACCAGGCCGGGATGGTACCGCCGAGCGCCTGAGGCCCGGCTGGGACCGTCGCGCCGGTCCCGTCTGGTGGAGGTCCGGCGCTCTGGCGAGCCACTGACACCGGGCCGGGATGGCTCCACCGAGCGTCTGAGGCTCAGCTGGGACCGTCCTGTCGGTCCCGCCAGCTGATCACCGCCGGGAAACGCAGAGCTGCAGGGAGTTTGGCCGTTGAAATCATGTTGCTGCTCTCGGTCTGAACTTTCTGCGATCCGGCTGAATGTGACGTGCTCCTGTTGTGGTCAGAGGGTTTCGTCCTATTTCCCGATATCATTCGTGCTTGCGAACGGATGTCTCAGTTGACTCGACTGTTGCTTGAGCCTCACGACACGTGCTTACGCGAGACGTTGTTCAGTGCACTCGGTCAACCATACTGAGTATTCCTCATGTAGGCCACGCATGACTTAGGTAGCTATACATGCTGCTAAGGTGAATCCCATCGCTCAGCCCTCGCCCTGATAAGGAGGAAGGGGCAATGCGACCAGCCGCTAAGGTTCTTTAAGGACACCTTCCCGAAATGTCGTACAATCACACCCAAATTACGAGTAGTCCATGGGGCATCCATTGCACTTGACCTACCACCATTCTGCCTAGCTTGGGAAAGGTCATACAATTCCTGCAAATGCGGGGAAGTGTCGTACAAAAGACGGTAACTTACCACGTGCCAACTAAACAAAACCCCCTCAAACACCTGCATTGGAGAGGCAAAACGTAGCGTCCGGGAGCCTTTTGAAGCCCGTCTTATACAACGTCTCGTAATGCAATTTCTCTCCATTGGAGTTACTCGATATAATGCGGCCCGAGAAAATGTGTAAGGCATTCTGTTTCGGAAATGTTCTACTGCACGATGCTTGTGACCTGGATCGAATGTTTGCCCTACGTACATCTACTGAGGATTAGCCTTGGCTGAAATATATATATATATATGTGTGTGTGTGTGTGTGTGTGTGTGTGTGTGGTGTGTGTGTGTGTGTGTGTGTGTGTGTGTGTGTGTGTGTGTGTGTGTGTGTGTGTGTGTGTGTGTGTGTGTGTGTTGTGGACTTATTCATTTTATTATGAGCATAAGGTTATTCTCATTCTCTCTACTCTATGGCAGTCAATATACGGTACTCCTAAGGGCTGCTGGCTAATCTGGATTGTTGCGACGACCCGGTAGTTGCGAAGAGAAGTGATGAATTTAAGCCAGGAAATATGGAAGCATAGAAACGTTTTGATGAATTTCTTACTTTAGGGACGGAAAGAAACTTGCAACCGGGCATCGGTGTCTATAAAACGAATAATTATATTTCAACGTACATGAACTAACCATGCTGCTCAAACCATGATGGCGTTGGTGTGTTTGGCATCGGATGAAGATTTCTGAAGTGCAGCAAATTTAACATATCGAGGTCCCCGTTGTCAGTAGCTGTTGCTCAAAAATAATTATGTTTAACATTGGTTTCACCAAAGTAAAATACCGACCTGAGTCTGACACCTGCTACGGGTCATCGAAGCATTTCGGCTTAGCCGTCTATGCCCCGGATAGCCTTTAGCAGCGCCGTGTATTGGGCGGTAGGACGTAAGAACCCGATTTCAGGGATGCTCGTGGGGTTCGGTTAGTGTTTCTGCTGGTAAATAATCATGGTAAGTAGTTTTTCTACCTAATACTTGGCACGGATCATCGCAACCTTCCGGCTTGGCAGGCTGAGTTTCGTGCAGCGTTTGGCGTAGTACCATGTATCGGGTGTTGGAAGGTAGGAGCTGTGATGATTGATTATTTTTTACATATTTGTATCGACGATGTCTTCACAGATTCGGAGCATTTTCTTTTTTCCCTGGCTTGGTTTTCAAGTGTCATTTTTCCTTAACCTTGCGTACTCTGTTTTACTTATCGTCATGAGCACAGTCTGAAACGTCGAGCATGGGCAATATAACCAATGTTGACTTTATAGCGTTGTTCAACCATTACCTTCTGGTGTATTGAAGGTCGATAGCTCAGCATGAGAACTCCGAAGTCATAATGCCGGCAATTTAGTTGAGCAGTTGGTTTAGTAGGCAAAACGGATGCGAAAATCGGCGTTAAAGCACAAGGAATGTTTTAGGAGCGAAAAGCGAAGACGGGCTAGCTGTTACATAGCTGCTTCATCAGTGCTCAAAATTGACACAAATGTTTTGGTGGAAAATAGAACGCAGCTATTCTGCTTTCGAAGTCAGTGGGGACACGTATCTGGGCAGTACCTTGAGCTGATAACCTAGCAGCTTTAACAAATGGTTGAAACCAGTTGACTCATCCGCGTAGTCGATGACTAGCGTGATCTAGATTTTGCCTTTGTCTGCTCGGACAACGTTTCGGCTCGCGGCTCGGAATGGATCGTCATCAAACGTTCTCAGCGATCGTGAGAAGCCACAAAGGTCCTCACCAGACGATGCCAGAATGTAAAAGCACCCAATTCCCTGTCGTCGCTGAACGCGTAAGCGAGGCTTCGGCACTATCGCTCAAACCTTGGCAGGCAGACAGAGGGACGGCTCTCGCTCTCTCCCTCACGACTCGGCGAGGGCATGGGCGACACGACCGTCCTGTGATGTCGCAGCTCACCCCATACCGAGGTCACAGCGCAGTCCGGACCGTGCGCTGAGTGCTAGCACCTTCTAACAATGGTAACGCGGCAGAACAAACGGAATGGGTTGCGTCTGGCAGACGTCCTTGTCGGAAGCAGAAATGACACCTTTTTGTTTTCAAGGCAGTATGTTAACACCTCTGGATCTTAGCGGCACCTGTCTCTACCGTTTGGCATAACTTAATGTTTTCATGGTCCTGCAGTCGCACCCAGTAGGATGTAGATAATGGTATCTACCTGACGCAGCGCCGGACCTATCGGCGCGATAGCTCGGTCAGCGATTGGAGCGTCCGACGTCGGATTAGTCGCCGTCCTCTGACGTCAGAGCTTGGTCGGCGAGCTCTCGTCTCGGGTGCTGACTGCCAGCCGGGTGGCCAGGTCAGAGCCCGGGGCGGCAGACGGGTGACGCTCGTTGACCAGTGGCGGCTTACAGGAGCGGCGGGCCGTGCACTGAGTGTTGCCGGGGACCTGAGTGTCGGCGGATACCGAGCGGACCGACGCACCGCCGGCAGACAGCGATAGTGACCAGACCGCGTCACGGAACAGCTGGAGCGGTGCGCACGCTGCGGGTCACCGGGAGAGCAGCCGGCGAGGCGACCAGCGCCAGCGATCACGCCAGCTGTGAGGCTGTGCGCCTCTCACGAGTGTGGTGATCTGACGGCCGACCAGCGCGCAGCACGGGCAGCCAGGGCAGCCGCGGGGCGGCCGGGCATGGGGCGGGCAGTGCAGACCGCAGGCAGGACTGGTCGGCCGGCGGCCCGGCCGGGCTCGCGGCTGGGTTCCGTCACGAGCCTCCGACTGATGGTGACGCTGCTCGTCCTGGTCATCGCCGACACAGGTGAGCTAAACACGGCCATTGTCGTGCCTGCGCAGCCCGGCGACCAATGGGCAGCCCGGGGTTCTCCCAGGCGATCACCCGCGGAGGCGAGAGCGGCGACCGACACGCGGGACTCTGGGAGCAAGGTGATTCCTATTTGCTGCAGCCATTGTTTAGGAGAACGCGGCATGCGTTTTCGCACACTCTTTTATCAAGCGCCAGCGACTGCGGTAACCATATCAGCAGCCAGATGTCGTCATGTCAGTCAGGTTTTCAACCCAGTCTCCACAAAGGAGTCTGCGACCTTATCCACTCCACCACCTTGCACCCCGGCTGCAGCTTAGCGAGTGATAAAGTACAGCGCAAGGTAAAGGGAATTTCTTAGAAGAATGCGGGTGAGACAAAGGATCGCAAGGATGTGATCGTTTCTCTAGAGGCCGCTTGTCTGGCGTTTCAGGCCGGTGTCTCGACCTCACCAAGCTGGAGCTGGATTCACAAGGCGAGGACCCGTCTGATGTCGCGCCAGCTGCGCATGAGATGGTGGACCAGGCGTGCTCGCCCGACTCAACAAAGTGCAAATTCACGTGCACGCTGCGTGACCTAGCCGTGACTCCCATCGACAGCGATCAGTCCACCTGTCCGGTAAGAGTTCACCGTTGGCCGAACACTGCAAAAGGCTTTCCTAAAACAGAAGAATGTAGTGTTGCTGCGAGTGGTCGGTGCGTAAGTTAACAAATGTTCTGGTATTGCGTAGCAAAGTAATGCCGTTAAGACGGCTTCATGCCGTGCTGGCCTGCCAGCGTCGAGCAGTCGACTCATCACCTCTCCCGACATGCCCGCCCGACCAGCGGTGCCTCGGCTTCAATCGCCGCCGCTCTCCAGGATGCCGTCATCACGTGGACGTTCAGCGGCTCGGCCGACTCGGTGGTGCGGCTCCGTCTGGCGCCGGCCGGGTCCGGCACCCGCTTCGGTCCGGGCGAGAGCCTGACGCTGCGAGACGACGGCGGAGAGCTGGCGGCGCTGACGCAGGCCGGCGAGGCCTGGGTGGCGAGCCGCGGTGCCAGCCTCACCGCCGAGTATCGGCGCGCCGGAGATCAGGCCCAGCGCGGTCGCGTGATCATGACGCTTGTAGCCTACAACACCAGTAAGCTCGGAGGAGAGGCAGGGATGCGGAGCGAAGGAAAGGCTGGAAAGAGAATGGCAAAGTGGGAGAGGACGGTGGACGTGGGTGGACGTGCACCGAGGGACGCCTAGGATTGAAGAAGCTAATGTGTTTTCGTCATACATTCGAATATTCGTGCTTTTTACTGTACGTTGTAGAATTTGCGACTTTCGTCAGATTCTCGGCTCTTTTGGAGGCGGGCTTCCTCAAATGAGAACAGAATTTCGAACAATAACGCCTACAAAGATGACATTTTGCCGTCATGGAGTTCTTGGAGGGCCCTTGGGTGATGGTGTAGGACATTCTTGGAGGCCTTGTCATGGTCACTGGCTGTGTACCGTATAGGGTGGTCGGTACCTCTTATTAGAGCAGGAGATTAGCGGACGTTTCGTCAACAAGCCCTCCGTCATGATCCGCGGCGTTCTCCAGTCCGCCTCAGTGTGCGCAGATGCGATGTGGAGCGTCTGCTGATCCCCTGCTGTTATAATGGTCATCTACTATCCTATAGGCATCAATATTAACGTCCACCAAAATATATTTCACTATCACAGGTGGGCACTTTCAGCAGTTTGCTTTGATGCAGTGCACATGCGGGGAGTGAAAACCACGCCGTTCTTCAAAACATCATTCTACTAGCCATGAAGAGAAACATGCACGCTGATACAGCGATATGTACGCTCATACGGATACAGTAAACCATATGTGCCGCATTACCGCGCGGGGCACAGCCTGTACGCCATGACCGTGCGGCGTCCCATGCGCCCTGGTCACCTGGCCACCTCCGTTTGTGACCAGCCCGTGAGAAACATCACTTTGACTGCTCTGAGCGGCGTATTGGAGGCCCCTGAACAGACCAACTGGACTCACCTACCCGACTACGCGCTCAACACGGAGATCCTCTGGACGCTGGACATTCACGCCTATCACATCAACATCACTGTGGAGCAGCTGGATCTGGAGCCGACAGCTAACGACTTTATCATATGCGGCTACGGTGAGATCTGTTGCCCACTGGACTGGGCCGACTGGGCGTGGCAACCATCAGCCATCCAAACCGGAACAAAAGCTGTTCCTGCCGGCGTTGTACGCCATTTATGCATATAGGCTTCGTATGGCTTTCGAGCGGTCAGCAGCACAGGCCCATGACATTGGCGTACGTGTGTTGTCGGTGGGTAACGATCAGATCTTATGAAAGTTGCACAGACGACCTGGTAACTGGTGATGGCTTTAGTACATCGCTATGGATGTGACCCGAAGACATTATCACCTCATTTACATCCTGAAGCACCAAGGCAGATGTCTTGGCGGTTCACCGGTATCTTGGACCAAGGACATGCGCTCTTGCTGGTTGCTGCTACTGAGTAACTCAAGAGACCTGCTGGTACCGCTACCTGACATGACCTTCCGCTGCCGCTGGTGTGCTGAGCTGATGACCCTGTGGTGACCTGTCGCAGGGAGTGGACCCTGGGACTCCGAGCCCGCTGGTGACCTGCTCACCGGCGTGTTCAGCACCAGGAAGTACCACATTCCGGGCGGAAATGCGTTCGTATACTTCCTGTCGGGGGGCCACGCCGAGCCCCGAACACCGTTCATCATCAGCTACGTCGCAGAGGGTACGTTCGGGCTTCAAAACTCGCAGAGGATGAAAGCGTGCCGATAGTTGGGGCCGTGCATCGCTATGGTACGTAGTGCAGCTCACTGGCATCGCTATGGTACGTAGTGAAGCTCACTGGCATCGCTATGGTACGTAGTGCAGCTCACTGGCATCGCTATGGTACGTAGTGAAGCTCACTGGCATCGCTATGGTACGTAGTGCAGCTCACTGGTCAACCTGGACGCGTTCCTGGGAGCCAACAGATTTGCAACGTCGAGCTCTCAGTCAGGGGCCCCACTTTTAAAATCGGTGGAGGGGAGGGCGAACAGACATGGTTGGCTTAACCTGCCCGCTAAACCGGAGTCTCCTCGGAATTTAGTCACTTTGATTGGCGTTCCCGATGTTGAAATTCAACTTAAAAAGCATATTTCCTTGGTTCCAATTTAGTTTCGTTGCCAAGGGTGGCTTCCGACTTCAAGGCGGTTTGAGACTGCGTTTTGTGAAAAGCCTTGAATGGGGCATAATTCACATAAAAAGCATTCCGGTAATTAAAATCCTTGTCCTCACTTAAAAAGTCATCGATCATCGTTCATCAAAGGTGGCCCAAGGCGCCAAAACATATGTGCATTGGTGTGGCCAGACGTACGTACGCGTACGGACGAGAGCCTATGGACGATTTTTGAGCACACTGCCATGAAGCACCTATCCATGAAAGTAAAACTGATGCCTCTTTGTTTGTTAGAACCGGTATATTTTATTGTCATGGTTTGATGTCTGTGGAATCACTGATTGCTGCTGGTGGCAGTAATCGTGATTTTCTATTCTATTGGCAGTAGAATACCAACACAGTCACGACTATGTAACGTATACACTTGCCGCTGTTGAGGGAAACATGGGCTAATTTCTATATGGATCACCCTGTGCATTTCAAAGCAGCGCTTGTCACAGTCAGCTGTTATTTACCCAAATTCGGGCGTCAGCATGTAAAAAATTGTCAGGTATTTGCAAGCTGGCCCAATATGTGAACGAGTTGGCACGACAGCAGCATTGGGTACCTGCCGGATACGTTTGGGTACGAGTTGAAGATGTGATGCGTCTAGGTACTATTGTACAAATAATAAACGTAATTTGCATCCATTTCTTTACCCCAGTATTACCTGTTCGCTCAAATGCATTGAGGGGTTTCAGAGGAGCATGTGGGGAGGTTGCCTCGGGTCAGTATTGGGAGGAGGGGCCACCGGCCGGTTAGCTGCCGGGGCCGGGCCGAGGCGGCTCGTTCGCGCTCCGCCGTCGACACGTGCCTCCCCGGCCGGGCCGAGGCGGCCCGCTCGTGGTCCGCCGTCGACATGTGCCTCCCCGGCCGGGCCGAGGCGGCCCGCTCGTGGTCCGCCGTCGACACGTGCCTCCCCGGCCGGGCCGAGGCGGCCCTGCTCGTGCTCCGCCGTCGGCACGTGCCTCCCCGGCCGGGCCGAGGCGGCCCGCCCGCGCTCCGCCGCCGACACGTGCCTTCCCGGCTGGGCGGGTTACAGAGATCGCCGGCTCAACCACCACCGTGTCGAGCACGACGGACAAGAACCACCCGCCGACGCCGAGCGACCGCTCGTTCGACCTGGCCGTGTACGTGACGGGCACCGAGCCGCGCCGCTTCCTCAACAGCTCCACCGGCGCCACCGCGCAGCTGCAGGAGCAGCTCGCCCACTTCACCAACATGTACCGGATCGAGTACAACATCAACACGTGGCGGCCAGTGCAGTAAGGACGGGCTTGGAGCGCCGGGCAAGTGCAGTAGGGACGGGCTGACAGTGCTGGGCTGGTGCAGTAGGGACGGGCTGACAGCGCTGGGTCGGTGCAGTAGGGACGGACAAGGGGCGCTGGGCCAGGACGGCGGCGGCTGACGAGCGTGGCCCCTCGCGTGGGCGGCTCGCCTGTGCCGATCTTCGCTTGTAGGAATGTGTGGCACGAGAACGCGACCCAGTCTCGTCTGGTTGAACAGGAAATCGTTTAGCGTTTGATTGTATGTCATCAACTGGCATTGCTCGCAGAGTGCGCCGGTAACAGTGCTGATAGCCATTACAGAATTTCATCCGACGTCGAGATTAGATTACGTCACTGCGCACGCTTCATTTGCAGCTCACATTTGTGTCCACCTACATTCAGTTATCTTAAAGCCCTTGCTTATAGCGGAATACCGTGCGTCCTCGGCTGTTCACCACTCGGCAGAGGGCTCTACACCAACTTGAAAAGGGGCGTGTCCGTGCATTCGCTGGTGCGCGAGACCGGCCGCCCCTGCTCTAGCTCGCCCTCCCGTGGAGCGTGCCTGAGCGCCGCCCACACCTCCTTCTTCTTCTTCTCCACCCGCAGCGCCGACGACATCCGGTTCGATTTCTGGAGCATGTGCGACTACTCCTCCGGCTGGGTCAAGCCCGATCCGACGTGTTTCCGGCTGACGTGGTATGTGGAGATCGTCTCGGAAGACGGCGACTGGGTCTTCTTCACGGACGACCTGGTCCAAGTCATCGTCAAGTTCGGTGATAAGATCAACAACGCGCTCAAGTACAAGGTGAGGTCGAAGGCAGGGTGCCGGCGGCGCTGCGGCCTGCTGACCTCGGCACCGCGTCAGGCGTTGGGGCACCAGAGCCAGGCAGGCGAGCAGTGACTATCTCAGCCATTTCATCGTCAACTTTTTGCTTTTTTGTTGGCTCTAAACACATTGGTCTGGCGCAGTGCAAGAACACTCCTTTTTGGCTTATGCACTGTATGCTTTCGTTTCGGCTACGTCCTGATCTTGTTTTCACTGGTACGTGTATTAGTACAGCCAGATGTGTTAAGTTGATGACATCGGTTAAGTAGAATATAAAACGTGTGTTGCCTGTACAATCATTTTCATTTTCGCATACAGTGCGTGGATGACAGTACGTCTGTCTCCCATGTCAGAATCTGACGCCCCTGTAATATTTTTCTACCACCAGGTGTCCTTGTACCTGGAGGAAATCAATGAAAAGTGGTGGTATGGCATTGCTATTGCTGTCCCTCTCGTCCTCCTGGCCGCATTTCTACTGTTTGTTTTCTTCAGCCGCTCAACCCCGTCCAGGAAAAGGTTTGTGCTCTATTAAGATCACATTAACGTGCAAACTGCAAAGACTGGGAACGATCATCGATTTTTTTCGGGTGATGCGTCTTCATGCACAGTTTGGGCCCAAGCAAACACATCGATCTGCTTCCTGACCAACGTGGCCTGAAGATGCTCGGGTTAGGTTATCGACGAATGCAGTTCACTGATTCCAGACCGTCATCCACCCATCCTGGTAACTGGGATTCCTCCTCAGGTCTATCAGGCAGGCAATGTTCATGAGTAGGCTAGCTTTTGACAAACGTTAGCGTTTTTCGCATCGCATTATTGACGACAAATTTGTCCGATGTCTAGAGACCAGCCGTCAGACAGTATGGACATGGACGATGGCTGTCTGGCGGACGACGTGATCGCTGGGAAGGACGTCACCGCCATCTCTCGGGAAGTGAAGACGATTCCCGAGGACAAAGACGTAAGTGGGCGTCATCGTTCGATCGGCTGATTAATTTGTCATGGGCTGATTATTTATATTTTTTATATAATTTGTCATGGGCTCGGGTTTCCACTGTTGTGCTTTGGTGAAGAACATCTTAGAGACGGTTTCTAAATTATAATACCACAGCTGTCGTAATTCTTATGCTACAGGACTCGGCTTATGATGGATTTGTTCATTTCCTCCTCAGTCATAAACAAAGGAGACCTTTCCATGTCATAATCTATAGGGAATAGACCGTGCCTCTGGCATGGTATTTTAACACCCTTCGTCCACCGAAAGCAGTCATGGGATGTGTCCAATCATTCTTCTTATTCTGGACTTGGACTGTAGACTAGCCGAAGCGCTGTTGGTCTCTACACATTTGCATATCAATTGAAAATAAAGTTTTCATGATATCTTTGCGTGCATTTTATTAGCACAAAACAATTGCCCGTGCCAGGTCCAGCTTTGGAAAAGTCTGTGGTGCTGTCGAACGGAGGAACGACGGGCCGTCCCGTCCGTCGAACGGAGAAGCGACGGGGCATGGCCGTCCCGTCTCCTTTAGCACCAAGGGCGCAATTTGAGTGCCTCTTAACCTCTGATGCTGCTGACGATCCCATGCACTACGTCAAATTCCTTAAGTGCCTTTAGGCATACAACTTGAAATGAATTAAAGAGCTTGTCTCCATGACGAAGATTCCATGGCTGTCAACTGCCGTCAGCCGCCTCTGCCAGGCGATTGACTTAGGAAACGCTTGTTTCCCCCTGCTAACCTCAACCATAACGAACCCTGCAGAAACAGCTGCGCGACATCTTCAACGACGATGACTACCAGGACTAACGACCCGGAGCTGCGCAGCCGGCACCGGCGTCGAGAGCTGCAACGCGCGCCTGCCGCCGACCAGCCCGCTGAAGTCGGCGCTCAAGCCGTCCAAGCCCTCCCCGGTGACGTACTCGAACGCCGCCTTCGAGTCGGAAGAGGCGGCGCCGATAGCCAAGAATGGCAGCCAGATCTTCTTCCCGCCGGAGCAGCCGGTGCCGGAGCAGGTGCCGGAGTCGGTCCCAGCGTCGGCCGAGCTCACCGAGCAGCTGCGCCTGCTCAACAAACTGGACAGCATGGCGACGGAGAAGGTGCCAGGCCTGGAGCTGCCGCGTGTCAACCAGCTAGTGAAGCCAGTCGACAACTTGGAGGGCCAGCCCAAGATATACAGCATGAACGATGACGGGTGAGTGCAGTGAGGTGGCCGTAGCTGTAGTATTCACTCCAGTTGTGCTAGTTCTTGGTTGAAGCATGCCATGCCGCAACCAAAAGTTATTATTCAGCCCCTATGTTGCACAACGTGGCGAGATTAAAGCTTGGGATGGCTGAGAGCCACCAGACTTGTGTGTAAAGAGGGCAGAGCACCTCTCATTTGCACCATCAGGCCACCCCATTACCAGGATTACGGGGTGCGTCAGGCCCGTGCATTGGATGCAGCTGATTGATGTGAGCTTGGAGGGGGGGGGGGGGGGGGGAGAGAGACGCCCCGGCCGGTGTAGATGACGACCAGAGCGTTGGGTGGGCGTGGCAGGCACAGGACGCCTAGGGGGACCTCGACCTGATAGGCACGGGCTAAGCTCGAAATCAGCTGGCAGGGGGCTATCGTGCGGCCAGCGGCAGTCAATTCACACCCCGCGGTGTGCTGACCAAGCCCGACTGAGAGTCGTGCGCCGCTAAAGCCGCAGGCGGCCGTGTCAGATAGAGCAGAGCCATGCGGGAGCGTGACCGGCCCGGAATAGGCTCGCTTCTGCGAACATCAAGCGGTGCGAGTAACCTTAATCGTTATGGAGCGGGATAATGGTTTCCACAAGATTGCGGTAGCGTGGTCTAGCTGCCGTCCCTCAAGGGCTCGGTTGTGGACCACACGACCCCGTGAAACGCCGTTCAGCGGCAAGATCTAATGATTAATAGGGTATTTTGTTATCACGTCCTAAGACGGTAGTGCATGCGCTTGAATGTTATAATTGCAATATTAGGATGCATCGCACTGAGGCCTACTACAGATTTGTCACACGGCACAGCCCCGTGATTCTATGCCTGCGTTTCGTCTGTTTTCAATTCAGTGGTATCAGTGAACACTCAGCAATTTATTTTCGGTCAAGACTGTGTCAAAAAATACGTTGCCACCTCTTGTCAAGTTCAATAGCAGCTGCAACCGTAGGTTTGTGATTAACTTGCCTGTCTGTTGGTCGATCTACGTTAAAGGTTTCGCTAGAGAACCACTTGCTGTGGCACAGGCCGACGCCAATCCGCTGACCGCGCGAGTAATCCACATATCATTAACAACTGAACAGTACTACGTGGCTGAGCCCGTGTTCACTGCATTTCAGAACGGGCATGGAGGTCAGCGACCCTCGTCCAGGCGAAAAGATTCTGCAAACTGGATGGGGATAATGAGGATAAGGAAACCTCGTCCATATAATGTGTGAAGCGTTCCGCGTGTCCTGTTTGGCTATTCTGGAGGGCTGGTTTTGCTGAGCGCTTCTGGGTGCCGTATGAGTTGGTGCCGGTCGTGAAACCGGTGGGGACGTGGCGACTAAATTGCAGCATGCAAATATCTGCTACAATTACACGCACCCGCGCGAAAGTGTCTTGTCGCTGGTGAGATGTTGTTCACTTTGATAACCACAACCGCTTGATTTCTTCATAAACGTATCGTCGCACTGTATGTACATAGAAAGTGCTCCCGTAACTTGTGAGGCCACCTTGTTACCAGCAGCCAACTACTCTAGCCAAGGATCTATGGCACTTTCCCCTCATGAGAGGTTTCCTTTAATGCAGCCGTATGGCATGGCATGTTAGCCCTAAAACTGTACGAAATGGATCAACAAGCAGTGCATGAGGAGGTGGAGCAATGCAGAGCAATGTACACAGTCACTGTATGATGGTTCAATGTTTGTGAAATTATGGCGTGCTAAACAATGTATTTTATTAAAATGACCTTTTAATCCTATATTGGTGTTGTTAAGTAAGATGCATTCGGAATGAGTTACGGGTCACGCACCTCACAGATTCGAAAAATATAAACATAAAACGGACACCAGATGCCGGCCAGTGCTGACAGCGCTTTCCTCAGAACATACGTGATAAAATGACATGCATTACCAACAGGCTGAGTAGTTGCATTTGGTTTTTTTTACATTCCGCGATTTCTTGTAATTTTGCGATCAAAGTGTGGACATGTGTGCCATTTTTATCGTGCGTGTTCTCAGGCAAACCACTGTCAACACTCGATGACATATGGTTTCATTTTATGTTTGTACTTTTCGAGTTTGTGAGCAAGGTCCGTGGCCGACACTCATCCAAAATACATCTGGCTTGACGATCAACAGGCATATAATTATTGTAGGCAGATCATCTTAATTCAATCGAATGCATACAGTGCGTGAACTGTCGTGGCGGACGGAAACAGATGGTGTGTCAAGCTGCTTTTGCTGGTCGGAAACGGGATGTTCTCTGGCTGACTTTCCGGAGCAGTAAGCAGTGATGCAGTGCAATGCACAGTTAATAATATTTAATGTCCCGTAAACAACCTGAATATCGCTATTGCTTAGCAATGAAGTTCGGGACGAGTTTGCCGGCAGTGAATTATCCCGTTCTGTCGTAACCCATTTCAACAAGGCATTACCTACCCTGCAGTGCCCCATACAATGGCTTTATTAACCGCGAGAACTCTCATAAGCGAGCTGGGGTGATATGTAACAGAAGGTGTATTTATTGTGTATATGGCGTAAAACAAGTTTGTATCCAGCAGAACACAAGACAACACTACGTGGCAGAATCAAGCCCAGCTTATCTCAGCATAACAAATAATTGTTTATACTTCACAGTGCAACTTCTACCAAGCAAGCAAGTGCGTGGAACTGGAATCAAAGCTTTGCAAAGTTTCATTTACGCCAACATGTTCTGACAGTGTGCATAAGCCGTTTGTTTTTCCGCACTAAGTTTTCAGAAAAGTGTACAACGCTTTGATTCCAACACTTCGAACATCGCATGGTAGAAAATTCGTGGCGGCGATAACTGGCCATTGTTATGGTCATTGCGATCGTTCAAACAAGGTAACAATATCATTCGGTACACACCCATACGCTCTTCAACTTAACATTTGCATACAATCGCCTGCTATTGGAACTAGCCATCGAGTTGAGTTAAAAGGATGCGTGTCTACACCACGGAATCACATGTTGTTTGATCCTACAATATAAATACCACCACAGCAATAAACACACGCGCACTGTCTCCCATACGTGCGGAGTCTCTCCACCTGCCCGCGTCAGTGCTCATTCTCTGAACTTGCTCTTGATGAAGTTCGGCAGTGGCATGCTGTATGCGATGATGTTCAGGACTACAAGGCCAGCGACGAAAGCGAAAGTCCAGGCGAAGTTCCAGTACAAGTGCAGATCGTCCACCGGGTTTTTAAGGTTGCCCAGGTTATAACGCTCTTGGAGGTAATGGGTGCCATTCAAGTACCTGAGGATGCACGCAGCAGTCGTAGAATGCGTTGCGTCACAGTAATAATATGACACGAATGTAGCTGGATCTAGCAACCCTCTGCTAAGTCACGAAATATAGCTCTCGGCACAAATGCTTTCTGAAAAATGCATATGCTGATTTTCATTATAAGGCTACTGCATCTTTTTGTCTGTTTTTGCGCATATCTGATTCGCTTAGCTTTTCAGGATGGATATTGCAATACGCGCTATACGAACAAACGGAAGCAGCGCCAGAAAGGACACATTATTATCACATGTACCAAAAGACAAAGATGGGAGAATAGCGAGCCTGAAAACATCAAAACCTTGCATTTTCAAAGATGTCTTAAGATTTCCACCGAGTAAGAAAACAGTCGCAACCAACCAAACAGCGACGTCGCCGTTCTGAAACAGCGCAGCGCCTCAAGCCCGACCACTGGCCCCGCTGTCGTGTGCAGGCACCGGCTCTGACGCCGCCACTTTTCTGCTCACCTGCAGCCGTACTGAGCGTTGTTGCTGATGCAGTTGATCTGAGCTGTGGCGTTTCGGGATGGCAGCGCCACAAAGTTGTCTCGGAACATCTGTTCGTGCAGGAAGGCGCTCGCGTAGCGGTAGATGATGACGTAACTGACATAATACAGCCACTTCGGGAGGCCGACCAGGGTTCTGGAACAAATTAGTCGTGCAGCGTTGTAGCGGCGCAGCTCTGATGAGCCATGCAGGCGCATTAAAGGCGCTTGACCTGGTCACAATTGCATGTAAACGCTACTGTGGCCTGAGGACATGCATTGGCGCTGTATCCATTCCGGGATTTCTTTCCTCTACCTTCCACCGATGCTTGTCTGATCACTTAATGTGAGACAGAATTCCTCGAAGTCTTTTTATAATGTTAAGCGAAGCAGTACTCCTAAGCTCCAGACGTCTGTCTGGAGCTAATCGAGACATCCTGCAATGCATGTTTGAAGTAATAATGCACAATTAGTCTACCAAACGTGGTGACATTTTTTCAATATCGACGTAGAAAGAAAATACGTTTCCGATTCACACGATCAAGCTTCTGGTTTACGCTTTTGGTCGCGGTTTACGCAGATTGAGAACTTCATTATGCTGTAACCCGTAAGATGCTGTTGGGTTCTGATGATCAGGTTTCCCGTTATCAGGGTCTGAACTGGATGATGGTGTAAACTGACCTATTGTATTCGCTGCATTTTCTTTCAGCGCATTCTCGGAACTAATCATCCTACTCTCGTCATTGAGAAACCATGTCGTCAAACCATTCTCAAATTTTCAAAAAAAAAATACGAAGCTTTGTTTGATTTTAACAGCGTA